TGTTGGTGGCTCACACCTGTATCCCATCTACTCCAGAGCCTGAGATCTGGAAGATCAACATTCAAAGCAGGCCTGGGAAGAATGAAATTCTGTCTTCAGAAGTAACCTGTAAAAACACAAAAACAAAAAACAGGGCTAGAGATGTATCTCAAGTGGTCAAATACCAATTCAGCACCAATTCGTTTGCTGTAGGCTTAAAGAGGGCACAGAACAGCACCCATTGGGAGAGTGAAGATTCAGAGAGAAAAGAGAAGACAGGCAAGCAAAGTTCAAAACTGAGGAGATTAAGGGAAGGGAGGCTTTAAGGGCAAGAAAGAAAAGTTGAGACAACTTTCTGGTATGAATGTATAAATGCTCTTAGTAAGGCTAGTAGATGTTTGCTGAGTGAAGAGGACAATTTTGTTTCATGAGGAAAGGTGAAAAAAAGGTCTGGAGTAGCCTCCAGGAACAACAAAACCTCCCAGGCCTGGGTGAACATCTAGCCCAGCAGGTCTAAGAACTAAGAGTGCTGGAATCAGCTGCCCTCCTGGAGAGACGGCCTGTTTCCTTTTGCGAGGACCTAGAACCAGGGAATGATGTTGGTTGTGGCTCACAGGTTGTAACTGGTAACACTGAGGCAGAAGGCACAGCAGGAGAGGCAAAGGGCCTCTGGTGAGCGCTGGACTGTGCTGGGTGCTGGACTGTGCTGAGTGCTGGACTGTGCTGGGTGCTGGAGTCCTGGGAGAGGTGCTGGCTGAGATTGGGCCTCACAAATCCTGCTTTTCCAGTGGCTCCCTCCTCTATCTGGCTGGTCATCATAACCTTGATCTTTCTTCTGCTCCCTGCTCCCTCATGCTCTCCAACTGCCCCAGCGTTGAGGTGTGTCTCATGCCCCTGTTTTACTCAGTACACAAATAAAAAGCAGAGGCAAAAGAGCTTAGATTGTGCGGAGCAACGCCATCTTTGATCCTCTTCCTCATTTAGCTGCTCACTTATACATGTTCGCGTTCACAAGTCAGTAAGTTTAAATGTTTAAACATTTCCCCCTTCGGTAGCTGAAGAGAAAACAAAGCAGCTTCTAATACGGTAATAAGTTTTTATCTGTGGCTACAGGAGATAGGCTCCAACACCATCCAGCCAGAAAGTACAGCTCTAGGCTTAGAAGGAAAAGCAAGTAACTTTCATAAATAAAAGAATTTTAAATATTCCCAGCAGTAAATAAGGATTACAAAAAAACCCAAAAACTTGTAACTTGCACTACACAGCCAACAACAGAGCTCCTTCTAACAGAAGACTATTGAACTAAAACAAGAACATGTTCGCAGCTTTTCAGGGGGTGTGAGCTTGCACCCTAGGTGGGTGACAAGCATTCACTGTGGAAAGATTTTCACTCACCTCCCCAGAATGTTACTTCTTACATCTCCTGACACCTCTCGATTGGCTGAAGATCTGTGATAGTCACCAAGGAAACCCAGGAGTACTGATGCCACAAATAAGAGTTTTTGTCAGCTTTTAAGGTGTTGGAGAATGCCTGAGAAGGGAGGGGGAGGGGCGCTGCTCCCACAGCTTGGTTAATGATGACCTTCCACAGTGCTGGGGTTAACTTCATTCTGTCTTGTAGCTGATGGCAGAAATCTTCCTGGGAGTCCTTCTCAGTTTCCCTTTCAGGTTTTCGGCCCTGTAATCACTTGAACAATAGCTTTTAAAATAAAAATCAGAGGTGTAGTCTCATGTGCAGTTAGTCTGTCTATATGATAGTTTGGGGTTGTTTCCTAGGAGATTAGAACGAGGAGAGAAGACTATTCATATCTCTCTCTCTCTCATTCTGTCTTTTTCTTCTTTCCCTCTCCCTCCCTTTAACCTTCCCTTTCTTCCTTCCTCCCTCTCTTTCTGTCTGTGTGTCTATCTGTGTCTGTGTATGTGTCTCTCTCTGTCTCTGTGTCTCTCTATCTCTCTGTCTCTGTCTCTGTCTCTCTCTCTCTCCCTCTCTCTCTCTCTCTCTCTCCCTCTCAGTGAAAATAAAGGGGAAATGGAAGGCTGCCAAGAAAATGAAATCAGAACTTATCGAGGCTTTCATTCAATAACTGTTTCCTGAGCATGTGTAATTGCAGGCATTCACTTGCTTCCTGGGAACAGGTTATTGGTGGTCTCTCCCCTCAAGGAGCTGAGGGTTTGCTGGCACAGGCTGAGTTGCACCAGGCTGCGTGAAGCACACATGGGAGCCGGGTGGGTAGGCTTACTCTGGAGGAAGGGCTTTCAGTGGTGAGGGTTGTGAAGGAGGCAGTGGTGAGAGGTAGTCAGGTTTCCATTGCGGGGAAACTTCAGAAGATGTGGTAAGAAATCTGGACTTCATACCATATCAGCTCTGGGGATCCCAGGAAAGATTGTAGAGCAAGGAGAGATGTGATGTATGTTTTAAAAAGAGAACTCTGTTTGACAGTGGAGAGGAGAGGAGAGGAGAGACAGATAATGGGGCCTCAGGGAAAATAGAAGGAATAGGAATAGCATGAGCATCTGCCTAGAACTTTCTGTACCTGATGCTGCTGAAGTTCAGTTCATTTTTCTGCCTTGAGAGGACAACAGGCTTGAGAAGATGAGTTGGCACAGAGGTTTAACTCCGGGATGGGTTTTGCCACTTAGGAGGCAGCTTGTTGATCCTCTGCAGGATGTCAAAGTCAAACCTATGCTCATGGTGTCAACTTCAAAACTGCATGTCTGCATATGGCTCTAGACCCAATGTAGCATGCAAAATACGGTTTTGTTTTGATCAGTTCATTGACTTATTTTTCCATCTAACCTATTTGAATTTGCTTTTAAGACATTCCAAGGTTAACGCACTGTAGATGGCCACTAATAAGTTGTATTGGCAGAATTTGGCTTTTTTTCCCCCACCTTCTTTTATTCATTCCTCTTGCAAAGACCTGCAGCCACAAAGAGAAGGCTTAGAAATGAAACAGCTGGTTGTCCCCCTGAAGTAAAGTGTAAATGGAAAATCTTGCAAAGAAATTTGGTCCTTTGTGTCCCTGTGGGTAAATAGAATGGGAAACAATTGAGTGAAATGCCAGTACTGGATATCTGGCAATCTTACAGCACAACATAGTCTGATTCTAGACCTTATAGATGAACTACATATGTACACAAGTACAGGAACACCTTTAAAATTTTCCCACATTAGCTGGTAGCTCACAATTATAATCCTATCTACTCAGAAGACTGACATCTGAGAATCCTGGTTTGAAACCAGCCAGAGAAGACAAATCTGAGAGATTCCTATCTCCAGTTAACCAGGAAAAAGCCAAAAATAGAGTAGTTCAAGGCCCAGTAGAAGCACAGCACCAAAAACAAAAAACCAACAACTCCCACAATTTTATTTAGTAGTACTAGGGGATTTTTTGTTTTGTTTTTTTTTTTGTTTGTTTGAGGAGGGGTAAGATATGTCTGCCAGTCCTTGGGCTTGAACTCAGCCTGAGCACTGTCTCTGAGCTTTTTTTTGCTCAAAGCCACCACTCTACCACTTGAGCCACAACACTACTTCTGGCTTTTACTGTGTATGTAGCACTGAGGAATCAAACCCAGGGCTTCGTGCATACTAGGCAAGCACTCTACCACTAAGCCACATTCCCAAGCTAGTAGTAGGGTCTGAACTGAGCACTTTGTACCCATCCGACAGGTACTCTACTTCCTTAGCCATACCCCTAACCCTTTTTTTCTGGTTATTTTTGAGATTGGCTCTCTTTTTTTTTTTTTAACCTTGGCCTACCTAGACTGTGATTCTCCGATTTGTGCTTCTCACTATAGCTAAAATAACTGGTACATGCCACCACACCTAGCTTTCTTTGATAGAGATGAGGTCTTATAAGCCTACTTTCCCCAGGATGACCTTGCACTGTGATCCTTCCAATCTCAGCCTCCTGAGTAGCTAGGATTGCAGGCATAAGCCACGTCCCCATCCTTCACATATGAATTTAATAACATGTACCTTCTTGAGCAATGACTAGACACATTCTTAAATTGGAACAATAATTATATCAGTCTTGAATAGAATTAAATTTGTTCTCTGTGTATTATATTTTTATCATTGCTATATTTTATTGTATAAACATATACTTGTATTAAATAACTTCAACAAACAATAATCAACAAAAACCTAGGAGCGGGACTTGTTCTTCATGGTGCAGAGCCAGTGTTGTGTTCCCTCAGAATGTTGGGGCTCTGTGGAACGGGAATAGGAAGTAGGTAAAAGAAGAAAATGTTGTATTTGGGGAGGAAAAGTCAACATTTTGAAACTTCTTCCCTTTGAAAAGCCGGATCACAGTTCTTGCCAGAGACAGATACATCTCTCTCTCCAAGCTCTCCTTGACACTAAAGGTTTTCACTATGCCCAGGAAGTGAACTATGGAAAGGCATCTTTTATTTGTTCAATAAAGATGATCAAGCCACATGTCACCATTCCCAACTGAAATATAGCATCATGAAATCATGATTACAGTTATAAAAGTCAATTTATGAAGTGGCAGGAGACTACAAACCTTGCATTTCCTCCTTCCTCTAGGTTCCTGGGAATTAAATTTCAATAGCGTTGAGTAAGTACTTTAGAAAGAATATCCATAAATTATTTCAATTACGTTCCCCAATTTTTGCCTTTGTTCATGGTAAAGCGATTTGAATAGTCCATAAATTAGAACAGTGGAATTTTTTAACAAGATAATTTACTTGAAATCACTTTTACAGTGTGGTGATTGTGTGGTTAGAATAATAAGCAAAGACTGCCAGGTCAGCGAGGGGAGGGGAGAGTGTGCCAGCTCTGCTGCACACACACGTGTGACTTCATGGAGTTCTCTGAGAACGTCTACCAGCGTCCCCTCGATAAGGCTGTTGTGCAAACCCAAATGAATGAAGGTTTGTGAACACAACTTGGAAGCTACAAAGCACCAAAAACAACTGTGTAGTTAACAAACATCCTGCAGGCATTTTAGTAGAGAAAATGGAGTAAAAGTGGATGTCTTCGTTTGCCATTTCAGGGAACGAGGGAAACTCTGAGCCGGCACTGTACAACCCTTGGGGATGCTCTTCGGAAAGAGAATGACTTTGCTCTCATCATTGATGGAAAGACGCTCAAGTATGCCTTAACCTTTGGAGTCCAGCAGTATTTCCTGGATTTAGCTCTCTCATGCAAAGCTGTCATTTGCTGCAGGTAAGTTCCCCTTAACTTTGTCAGAGTTCTCTTTTTTAATACGTTTTTTATTGTAAAAATCCTATACAGTGGGGTTACAGTTACATGAGCAAGGTAATGAGTACGTTTCCTATCGAGCATTGTTGCCTCCTCCTTTGTTTTTCCCCTACCATCCCTTCCCTCCCCACCTCTCCAACTCCTTCCTCCCTCCCTCCCAAAAGTTGTAAAGTTCGTTTTTCAACAGTGTCTTGTGCATCTCATTGTTACAATGGGTTGACCTGTATCCCTATTTAAGCATTTTGTTTTTTCCCTTCCCCTCCCCAGATTAGAAAAGTGTATATACAATATGCAGGGCACCGACATCAAATGCAGTGAAAACAAAGGTTATATTGTGAGGGAGGAACATATAAAGAAACAAAAAAAAATCACATGGTACATTATAAATCATTAGGAACGATAGCAAGAAAGAAAAAAAACCACTTGTGTCCCTGTCTTGAGGTTCATTTCGCCTAACATCGTCTTATCTGTTCATATGTACGTAGCTTTTGACCTTTTCTGCTTCTCCCAGACATATACTAGTTATTGCAAATAAGGGAAACCATGGGACCTATGTTTCCAAGTCTTTCCCTAAGCAACTTGATCCTAAAATGCTCTGCTACTTGAGTCACACTTCCAGCCATTTTTGCTTTAGTTACCTTTTTAATAGGTCTCACTTCTTTGCCCATAGGGGCCTAGACCTTGATCCTCCTTGTTTATCCTTCTCATGGAGATGGGATGGCGGGCCCATGCTTCTTTTATTGGTTAAGATGGTGTCTCAAGAACTTTTTTGCCTATGGTAGTCTTAAAACCTCTGATCGGAAGTTCTTAAGTTTTAAAAATTCTACTATACTATCTAGAACTCTAAATGTTAAAGAACTTAATTCTTTCAGTCAAGAACCAACGTTCACTACCTGAGATGGAATTTGTCAGCAGAGTTTTTAAGTCCACACACGTATTTAGTAAGTACTGTTCATAATTTGAATTCATAAGTTTCTGGACAATTATTGATAGCCAGGCATTAGTGATTCATGACTTAATCCTAGCTACTCAGGAGGCTGAGATCTGGGGATCACTGTTTGGAGGTAGCCCAGGTAGGAAAGTCCATGAGATTCTTACTTCCATTTAATCACCAAAATGATAGAAGTGGAGTTGTGGCTCAAGTGGTAGAGCAGTAGCCTTGAGTAAAAAAAAAAAAGCCCAGAAACAGGGCTTAGGAACTGATTTCAAGCCCTAGGACTGGAAAGAAAGTGGTATTGGTAGCCAGACATAGTGATACAAGCCTATAATCCCAGCTACTTGGGAGACTGAGGCAGGGGACCACAACATGGCTAGTCTGCGCAATTTAGGGAGACTCCGTTTTACAATAAACACATTTTTACAATCATAAAATTGTAGCTCAGCCTGCAGAAGCTTCTGGATTCGGTCTCCAGTACCCCCCTTCCAAAAAGAAAAAGATTATGTACATTTCCATCTTGGTTGGTTTCTGAAAGATTCTGTTTTTTAGACTGAAATCTTTAACCTGATTCTAGTATTAATTTGGAATGGATGGCATATTAAGAGGTATAAATGGAGTCATTCCCTAAATAGCTGGACATTTTTCTGAGGGATATTTATTGATTATACAGTCTCTCATATGATATTGCTTAAAAAATCTGTTTTGAGTGATCAAGGCCTAAACCATAAAATTGCCAAAATTGAACTGCTTAGCTGCAGTCCTGCCTGAGTTTCTGGACTTGGCATCTTCCCCACCACTGTCAAAAGTGTTAAAATATTGTCTTTTAAAATGTGAAGTATATGTAGGAAGTCTCCTCCCTCGTGATCCCCATGAAATCCAAGGACTTTCCTCTTTGTCATCAACTTACTGAATTGTCCCAGCTGGGCACAGGAGACGGCGGGTAACAGACACTTTCCCACGTGGATTTCTCTTCCCTGGAAGTCAAAATGTTAGCAAGCCTTCTGAAAACCAGCTCTGAATCTGTCCCTGAGCCTCTTTGTGATCAAGACTAGTGTTCTACCACTTGAGCCACAGCACCACTTCTGGCTTTTTCTGAGTAGTTTATCAGAGATAAGAGTCTCACCGACTTTCTTGCCTGGGCTGGCTTTGAACCGTGAGCCTCAGGTCTCAACCTCCTGAGTAGTCAGGATTACAGGCCTGAGCCTGGCTTAACCCCTTTTTAATGTAAGTTTATTTCTTTAAATATTCTGTAGATGATATTGTCTCTGAACACCCAGATATAGTCCCTGAAAGATAATTTAAACCATAGTCATTAAATCTGCATAAGTATCACTTTGACTTACAAATCTTCCATACTCTGACTGTTGTCTTTTAGCAAGGTACCAGTGGCTTATATCTGTAATCCTAGCCATGTGAGAGACTAAGAAGTTTGTAACTCAAGGTTAGCTTAGACAGAATACTTGGAGAGACCCTCCCTCAATAGCTATGGCTATATTATCACAACCTACATGAGAGACTGAAATTGAGAGGATCATGATTCTAGGCTAGTACAGTACAGAAAAGTACCTGATACTCTCTCTCTCAGTAGAGGGAAGCTGGACTTGGTGATATATGCCTGGGAATCCAGGGACATTGAGTAGGTGGGTTTCTCACCAATTACTTTAAGGATAGGTTTTCACTTCCCATGGTAAATGGAAACCTATCCTTAAAATAGTCGGTGAGAAACAGGGATGGAGCAATGGCTCAGGAGTATCAAACCACCCTGTGACCCCAAGTTCAAACCCCAATATTGATAAATAAATAGTTACCTATTATTCCCAAGAATCCAATTATGTTAATCATATATTAACAATATATGATCTTGACCAATATCTACAGATCTACAGATGTTTAATGTTAGCCAACAATCAGCCAGGCTTTTTGCTTAATCATGAAGAAAGAATTGGAAGTTTTCTTGGCTCCCTGTGACTTGAGTGTCCTCGTGTGCTTTCTAAAATCCACTTGTGCAGTGACTTTCCTTGTTCCCTGGCGAATGTTTTGACAGAGCTTTACTGACGTTCAGCTCTGACACTCTTCCAGCAGGATAATTTTGTGCCAGATCTAACCACCCAGTCACTTTCACTAATGGGTTCACAAAGATCAACAGAAAACTGCCCCAAAGCAGCCGAGTGGTAGGAATGTTGGCTGCTATTTAGAAACAACCCAGACCAGAAGACAGCGCAGTATAGATAAAGCAGGCGGTTCACTGGCTAGACCTTCTGTGGCCAAGCACAGGCCACTTAGGAAAACGAGGAAGACTTGCTGCCTCCCCTAGCCTCCATATCCCATTCTGTTTTCAGCAGAATCCCATTGGTTTAAAAGATGTGGGGGGCCAGTTTTGATACTCGAGTCACTGCAGCTGAGCCTCATTCTTAGAGCATTGCTTAACTTAGTACCTCCCACCATTCTTCAGAAACTTGAACCACAAAATTAAACAATAGCAGAGGGAGAGGAAAACTAGAAAGCAGAATCAAGGGAGAAGAAATAGGTTCTGTGCTTGTGAAATTCTGTCCCTGAGATACCTGTCTTGGATGCTGAGTCACATGGGCCTTGGGCTTGGGGCCCCAGTGGGGGGAAGAAGCGGGCTCTATCATGTTATGTGCAGCTCAGCTCCGAGAAACTGAGCTTCTAAGGTTGTATGGAGCCCTTCCTTCCTCCCATGTTCCCGTCAGTTCTGTTTTATGCATGTCTGAGGACCTTGAACTTTTGTATGCAGAGTTTAGGGGTTTGTCTGTTTTGTTTTTAAGTAAAATCTCTTTTCCTCAATTTTTTTTCTTCTAATTAACTTCATTCACTTTTTTTATCCCATGAGGGCTGTAGTTCAGCTTCTGGCTCAGTTTTGAGAATTGTTTCTAAGCCCACAGTGAGCTCAGTGCCACTGCTGGGGTTGTCTGTGCACCTCCTTGGCCTGGTGCCCCAGCATTTAAACTACTGGCACAAGACCGTCTTTTTGTCATGTGGCATACTGACCTCCAAGTGTAACTGGCATGCTAATGCTCCCATCACAGATAAGATTTGGGGTGGGGGGGGCAAACCTGTCTATCATCATTCATGGTGATTAAATCCAAGCGTCGCTCCTCATTTCTCAGATGATTACAGCCTTCCGGTTTCAGGAAATTCTTTATTCTACTTCATTATAAGATAGATGCTCCAGATAAATACTGAATATTATTTCCAAGTACAATATAGTACTGTTTCTCAAGTCCATTTATGTTCCTACTGGCATTCTGGAATTTTCCCTCAAGTTTAAACTCCTTTCTAATCTACTGCTTGTCAGACTACGTGCACATGAAGATAACTCAGGGTCAGACCCTCCTCCACAGGCTTCTGTTTAGCTGTAGCCAGAGTGGAAGCAAGGGGACATTATCCCTTTGTGGATAATGAGGCTTTTCGTATTCTGTCCATCTTTAGGATTACATCAGCCACTTTTTTCCCTGACTTTATCAGCATCCAGGGCAAAAGTCAGTTCTGTGTGTGTGTGTGCGTGTGCACACGCATGCATGTGCGCACACATGCATATGCACGCATTTGTCTAATTGCCATACTTATAAAGATGAGCCTTTTCCCTCAAGAGTCTCTCACTGAATAGAAAGAAGCAGTTGTTTTCTGTCAGTAGTCATTATGTCTCACTCACCACTGTTCTCTGAAGGGAATATTCAGAGACAGAACTAATCCTCTCACCCCAAAATTATCCAGGGCTTTTGAGTCCTGGTTTTGGTTTACAGAGCATAGGTTGTATGTTATACCTCGAATATTTTTTTGAAGGATGAAAACTCCAAAGGAGACTATAGTCTGTTTTTATCAGCCTATTAAATTCTGTGTGTTCACAGATATTATACAACTTTTTTTTTTGTTTTGGGGGCTTTTTTGGGGGTCCAGTCGTGGGGCCTGAACTCTGGGCCTGGGTGCTGCCCTCAGCAATTCAGCTCAAGGCTAGTGCTCTACCTCTTGAGCCACAGTGCCACTTCCGGCTTTTTTTTTTCTGCTT